TGAATGGACTGGCTTCTTTCACTTTGCATAATGTGTTCAAGCTTTGTGCGTCTTGTAGCATGTGTCAGTACTTACTCCTTTCTGTGGCTGGATAATATTCTTTTGTATGTGGGGATACGGCACATTTTATTTATCCATTCAGCAGTAGATGGACATGTGGTTTGTTTCTCCCATTTACTTTTATGAGTTACTTAATGCTTTCCCAATAAATTCCCTTCCTACTTAATGTTGGCAGGCTCAGTTTTCATTGCTTGAAGCAAAATAACTGTAACAGATAAAATTTTCCTCTATAACTGTGCATATTTGATATCTACTTCAGATTCAGTGGCCCTGGGGTTCAGGCAGTACCCAGAGCTATATGCCCTCATTCAAATGTAGCCTTTCTTTACAGGATCTCAGTGAAGCAGGCTGAGGATAATTGTTTATTTAGCAATCGAACATCAGGGCAGCAGACCAGAACTTTCGGATGACTGAATGTTTTAAAAGTCTATTCGACTGTTCTATTCTGTCTCGGAGGGGTCCGCTCTACCTAGTGTTCCAAGGGACATGCTCTCAAACAACAGCAGAACCTATCCCATGCTTAAGTGTGAAGTTATGGAAATCATTTTTATTTTTCTTTCTCCTTTGCATAGACCATCCCTTCACTATCACCTTAAGTGTGTTATCCTCTCTCTTCCACAATTTTTCAACCTCTAGCCTCATGGAAGGATTAATATTGATTAGATAGACCTTCAGTGTGAGTGTGGATCTTTTCATTCCCTCTTAATAAGCTGTGTGCACGATTCTATTGCGCCTGAAGGGTACTCTGTCATTGGCAAGACATCTGACCTTAGTTTGTTACATCTGTAAAATGGGGTGCCGTGGTTAGATAAAAGGGTGATGTTTCAATTTTATTTAAGAATAGAACTTGTTCTTCAAGGGCAATCATAAGTGGAACCCCCCCCCATATAGAGTGGAGGCCAAGGGAGGAAGAGTTACTCTATTTTTTTTTAACTCAGCATACCCAAGTCTACCTTGGAAGACAGTGCTAGAACATTTACCCGAAGCCCTGGCTGCACGTATCTGTAGTCTGAACAACTTAGGGTTAAGAAAACTTTCTGCTGTGTGGAAATGAATGGAGAACAGATGGCTCTTCGGAGAGATCAATCTTTATGGGATTTTCTGAAAGGGGGAGACAAATTTATGTGTACAAGTTGGAAGAAGGAATGAATCTGAAAAAAAAAATACCTCTTGGACTTAAGGACGAAGAAACAACATTAGAAGTTAGGGTATCCATAATGTCACTCCTTGCAAAGGGTGATTTCCTTGAACTATGGGAAAAGCTAGACTTAGTAGGCAGCCGAAGAAGTTACTTCTTGTGCTTGGTTGGGAGGTGTCAGTCTTTGGGTGAAATCTGATGCAACCATATAACCCTGTGTGCATGGGTTAACGGGGCAGAGCCATACTGTGAAGCATACCCTGCCCCACAGTACCCTCCTTGCAACTGCCTATATGAAGGGTGCAGTTGTCTATCAAGGGAACCACATCCACGTAGCAACGCATGGAAGTCCTCACTGGTAGGGAGGACAATAAGCACCCAGCAGAATGCTTGGCAAATAGTTGAGTTTGTATTGGCTATCTACTGCTGCATAACAAATTATTCCCAAGCTCAATGGCTTAAACTAATAGACATTTATTATCTCACTTCTGCTAAAAAGTAGAACAAGCTGTTGGGCTTATGACTCTGGAAGGAAAGGGGACGAGAATCCCACCCTCTTGATGGAAGATGTGAGAAACTGAAGTTGACTTAAAAAGTCATCTCATCTTTGGTGCCTCCTCACATTGTGTGAGCCAGTCTCCAGACCAATGAGGGAAGACTGGCTAAGTGAATGCCCACCCCAGCAGCAAAGTCTCCTGCGTGACAAGCTGATCTGCTCCCTTGAAGCCTGTGTCAAAGGCCTCGTGCTGTGCTGTGTGGGTCAGAACAGGCCTGGGTGGGGATAACCCTTCTCCTGCTCATGTGTTCCTTGCTCTTCTAAAGCAAGGGGTGTTCAGAGTGAAGGAGGTAACAGGGTTCACACCCTACCTCTGAGCAATGCTGTCTGATACCTCTTACTCTGCCCAGTTGTGCCCAGAAATAGAAATCTGTGAGTCTGCAGACACCATGGAGCCAAGGTCAGCCAAGGTGAAGGTAAGCTATTTCCATACACTCATGCTGCCCTAGGACATACGGAGGACACCCCTTGAGGTGACCCCACATCCACTTCCTCCCTACTCCTTCATCTTTTCTTTAATAATACATCGGCGAAGACAGGCTGGATTATGCTGGAGTAACAAATACCTGCAAGCCCCCAAACGTGAGATCCCAGACAACAAAAGTTGATTTCTTGTTCATAGTACCTGTCCATGGTGGGTTGGTGGGGGCAGGATAAAAGCATCTGCGTATCACAGCCACCCAGGTACTTAAGCTTTATGGTACCTATCTGGTGCCCTTGAAGGGTCTTGCAATGAGATGCTCAGGCCTGGAAGTGAGACTCTTCACTTATACTCACAACATAAGGGCTACGTCTACTCTCATGGTCTCACCCAATTATAAGAGGGCCAAAAAGTGCATTCCTCTTGGAATAAGTGAAAAAAATGTGAGAAGTAGCACTAACAAGTAAGATAAATGGAAAGAATGTGGTTTTACGGGGCAGGAAACCCTGGGTCGCAGTCTTAACTCTGCTTAGCTCTGTTACAGGGAGCAAATTATCTGAGTTTCTGACCCTCAGTTCCTTCACCTTGAAGGCTACAAATAATATCTGCCTTGGGACAACTACTAGCGTTTAGTACATAAAACAGGGTGCCACCAAATACTAGTTCACTTCCTTTCTTTTCCTACTAAATACCTTGGTGCAGGTAACTATCTTGATGCATGTAATTTGTTTTTATGTACATTTTTTTATTAGAGCATTATTGTTTTACATAGCAGTTGGGTTCATTTTGACAGAATCATACATGCATGGAATTTGATTTCATTCCCAGTCTCCCCACTCCTCCTCCCCTCCTACTTCCCTGTATTCTCTTTCTCTACTGATCTTCCTTTCACTTAATTAGTTATTTATTTTTGATTGGTTCTTTCTACTTATACATAAAGGTGAAATTCACTGTGGTGTATTTATATATTCACATAATGTGATTTTGTTAAATTCATTTGATGGATGTAATCACTAGTCAATTTCAACCAGAAAGCTAAATGGAGATAAAAACTTGAGTTTATTGAATTTTTTTTTTTTTATGCTCAACTCCTGTAAGGGATATTCACATTTTGATGGGCAAAGTTCAATTGCACAGATAAGCTTTGAAAGCCTTCTGAAATGGCTCCCATGATTTCTTCCCTTTAATATCAACCCTTGTGGAATCCCCTCCCCTCAAATGTACCTAGCACTGAGTGTTGTTTCTGAGATTTGGTTATTAAACACTGTAACTTCCGTTTCTCTGGTATTCTTTCCTCCTGCCCTTCCCTCTTTAACATTCTGAAGATGAAAGCTGACATGTTGGAGAGGGCTAGGTGACAAGCAGGGAGGGCACAGCATCTAGGTAACAGCCAGTAAGGAACTAGAGTCTTGGGAAAGCAGTTGCAGGGAACTGGATCCTGCAAACACATATGAGTGAACTGGAGAGTGCATCCTTCCCCAGTTGAGTCTTTAGCAGATTGTAGCCCCAGCCACTCTGTGATCATAGCCTAGAGGGAAACCCTGAGCCAGAGGCAAAGAGCTAACCTGTGCCTGGATTCCCGACCCCCAGAACCTGTGAGATAATAAATGTATATTACTTTAAGCCATCATCTTGGGGATAATTTGTTATGCAGCAGTAGATAGCCAATACACATGTTCTTGCCATGATGTGGTATCTTGCCACAGGCCCAAGGGAGCCAACTGATCTTCCACCGGAACTTCCAACTATATGCCAAGCATCCTGCTGGGTGTAGAAACCCCAGGTGGGCAAAACATTTCCCTTCCATAAAAAGAGAATCTTGTGGCCACCACCTTTAAGCTCTTGCATTAAATCCAGTGGTCATGTTCACAGGGGCTGTTTGAGAGCACAAATGCTTAAATTGACCTAGAGTTTTCTCATGCTTGGTTTACTCTACCTTAGATTTTTTTAAAAGACTGAGCCCATTCCTGTTTCCCAGTCGTGTTCCAGCTCTTTTATCAAGAGACAATTGCGTGCTGTGGTTATAAGCACAGAATCTAGCGTTAAACTTGGTTACATCACTTAACTATGTGTCTTTGGAAAAAAAAATCCTACCTCATTGGGTTTCTGTCTTCTTGTGCAATATTGGGGGATAAAATAGCACTTCAGGATCAAGAGGGTAAAATGAGCATCATTACTGCCTCATCTAGCATAATAGCAGAGCCTATGGGCTGGGAAGTGGTTAAGTGCTTGATAGATGCTCACTGTCATTAATCTCAGACATATGCCACATTTTATAGGCAGAGTGTTTTTCTGGTGAGCATCTATGCTCTCAGTACTATTCTGGTCTCAGCAATTACACTCAATCTAAATTAGTAGAGGAGGGACAGCCAGGGGCATGGATGGTCACAATTCAGCTCAGCTATATTTATGTGTTGCCCCTTGCTTCCACTCAAGATCAAGCCTCCATGAATCCATTCCATAGAGAGGTCTTTTCTTTCTTCATTTACGTAGTAGGGTTTTTCCTGTCTTTCCACTTCCCGTTGACCCTTATACACCATTCACTTCTGGCAAGAAGAAAATCCTTTGGCACAATAATTCATATAAGTCAGGTCATGAACACAGCCTGTGTGAGGCAAGTTGTGCCGAGAATTTTTTTTTTTAAAGTTATTTGATGAGTTAATCTTATGATGTTTCTCCCTGAAGAGCAAGAGCCCAGGGTGGAGCAAGACTTGTCAAGCAGCATGGATTGGGGGTCAGTTGAGATGGAACAGGCAGAATAAAGTTTAGGCTGGAGAGAAGGAGAAGAAAAGGCAAGATGAAGGGATATGAGGGAGGGGTGGGGGTCTTCTGACTGAAATGCAACCAGAAAGGAACTTCAGAAAACTTGTGTATTATCCTCAGGGGTCTTGAGCACGTTCCTAAGTTGCGATACACAACATGGCTGTTTCTGGGAATGTCTTTCCAGTCCCTTGCAAAAGATTTTGGAATGCAATTTGGTTTATGTTGCTGTTTTCTGGGAAGAAGGGGAAGGAAGATGGAGCAGATGAGATGAAGGTGGATGATCTGGAATAGCTAGGTCAACAGGTGAGGATGGAAAGATGGACATATTCTTACCTATTCCTCGCCCTGTTTCCCTGTAGGTTACTCTGCCCCACCTCCAGAATTATTTAACTCCATGGGAATCATCTCCAAGTATTTACTGCTCACCTATTATATACACATCTATTTTAATTTTAAATGTATTGTGACATTTATTTAGATTTATCATGTTTTGAGAGTGGTTCAAAATTAATTATATTTTTTTTCTTGCAGTGCCATGAAGATAAATGATTTATAAAATTCTCATGGTCTATTTCTGACAGTGGTGCTATGGGAAAAAACTGATACTTACTTATCTGGCACCATTTTCATTAGAGAATGTACTGTACCCATCATCTCACCATCTATAGATGTCCATAGTACCTAGCCCTCTCCTAAACCACTTTCTTCTTATTTTTACTATTAGCAGACCTCATTATGGCCTTACTTCTGATTATTATCTGTCAGTCCAATGATAACTGTATCTGATGGATTTTTTAAAATGTATCTTTTGAGCTAAATAAGTCCCTGTCTAGTTCATGAATATTGAGACTGGTATATGATGAATATTGAGACTGGTATATGTGAGTCTTGGCATGGCCCCTTTTTGTACTTAGAATGCTCCTTGCTTTTAACATTTCCCCCTCACCTTCTGTCTTTTGGTACAAAAAGAGATTAAAACATTTAGATTGTCTTTATTGGGAAGTGGATCTTGAGTGTTGTCCAAAAGCCCCTACATTAAAAGGCTTGGTCCATAAGATGGCATTGGTGCTGTGGAACCTCAGAGGAGTTATGACCTGAAAGGGATTTGGGGGCCAGATCTCTTCCAGTCTTTTCTCTTTGCTTCCCTGGATCATGCTGCGAGCAGCTTTGCTCTGCCACATGTTCTTGCCATGATGTGGTATCTTGCCACAGGCCCAAGGGAGCCAACTGATCTTCCACTGGAACTTCCAAGACTGGGAGCCAGAATTAATTATCTAAGGTGCTTCATTATACTGAAGAAAGTGAACATGTGCCTCTTGACACAGGAGGAACATGTTCACATCTCACGGTGAGCACCACATAGCTTTGCCCTGTGTACAATGAGTGGCTCCATCTTGGGCTTAGGTCTCAATCAGAATTAGTGAGACAACAAGTGTGTCACTGGGATGTGGGTAAAAGAGATTTTCTTTTCTTTCAGCACAGAAAACTCAAGAGGATTTAAGGGCTGAGAGTGCCATCAACATCTGGTTGCAACCGCCATCTGGCTTATCACACCATGGCTGAGAAGAAAACCAGGGTAACTGAAGACACAGTACAGAAAACTTACAAAGAACATACCTGGGGCTCATGATAGCATTTTGGGGCCCCAAACTTAGTTGTTTTGGGGCCCCAAACTTAGACTTTACCGTGAAGTTTTCATCTCGTATAAAACAATAATTTTTCACTTAAAGCCAATTGAGGCTGAAGTTTGTCATCTAAAGCCAAAGGAATCCTTATTAATATGGTAAAAAGGCTCTTTTATGCCTGAACATGTGGTCATCTGAAAAATCAAAGGCAAAGCTAAGAGGGATGGTGGAAATGCAAAGAATCTTATATGTTAATCAGCTGTCGTCTTCTGTTCTACCTCTTGAATGATAGTGTAGCTGGTTTCAGACTTCTGGATTGAAGAATTTTTATTATACCTTATCTCAGCATCCCCGGACACTATTGTATATGTTGAGCAGAATGAGGAAATAGGGAGGAAAAGTCTGTGCATGTGTTCTCATGGTTGCCTGGTGGTAGAGGTGGGGAAATGGTCTACATTGGACATCCAGCCCCCAGTGTCACTTCTTCCCAATCACATCTCTCTGTTTGCCCTCCATCCTGCCCAGCAGCAGTAGTAGTTATTCTATAATCAGTGTAGTCGAATTTTTCTCTCTATTGCTCTTTATTTTAAATACATGAATAATTAAATTCTTTAGTAACAGGCTTTATAATTTTATGTCCATAGTATTGTACACATTCTATTGTGGCTTGCTTTGCTTACTTACATTATATTTGGAGATTTACTTATATTGGCAGAGGTAGATGTGTTAGCCTTCATTTGTATAAAACTGTTTTTCTTTTGTCCTACTCTTGAATGATAGTTTACCTGCTTATAGACTGGTTAAATTGAGAATTTTTATTACATCTTATCTCAGCATCATCATAGACAACTATTGTATATGTTAAGCAGTCAACCACCAGTTCCTATTATTAATTTATATCTGCTTTGAAATGTTACAAATAATTTCAGATTTTTTTATTATTTTAACCTCCTTAATACTTACTGTGTTTTTTTGAATCTGTAGATTCAGGTTCATTCATTAATGTTGGAAAATACTTTACCATTATCTATGCAAATACCCCCCCCATATTCTATGTCCTTTCATTCTGAAAACCCTACTAGATATGTGTGACATCTATACACTCTAAACTATTTCACTTAATCCTAAATTCTCTCATTGTTTTGCAGTATAACTTCCTCAAATTTGTTTTCCAATCTGTTAATTCTCTCTTCAGGGGTGTTTAATATATTACTTAATCGGTTACTGTTTTTTAATTGCAGTTACTACTTTTTCCATAACTACATGTTGTATAGCCACTTTCTCAAAGGTCCCTAATCTCTTTTCATAGGGCCTTAATCTTTCATTAGTAAATTAATATTTTTCTTTATGTTTGCAATAATTTTAAACAAATTTTTATATTGTTTTCCAGACTCTTCTGTTTAAGTTCGAGAAATATAATTTTCATGAAGTTTATTTGGCTGTATTATGCACTGTTCTTGTGTGTGTGTGTGTGTGTGTGTGTGTGTGTGTGTGTGTGTGTGTTTTCCTTGCAGAAAGCCTTTGGCTCCCCTTTGTAATAGATTTCTGGTTTTGTTTCTCCTGAGCATCCCAGGAGTATCACTTGTCAAAGAGTCAATATTTTTATTATATATTTTGTGATATATTTTCACTTCTTTGCTCCCTACACATTAAATCAGAAACTTTAAGAACTGTTTCTCCCTTAACCTGTGTTGTGCCGTTATTCATAGGTACTATACTGGCTCCTTGTATGTGTTATTGGAGGTAGGACCTATATTTTAGTACTGTTCCTAACATTTAATTTTTACAAGCAAGGAGTCTTTAATTTCATTTTATTCTTTGTAATTCCAGATACTAGATTGTAGCTCAGTCATTCCTGATATCTTTTAAAAGGGATATATTTTCTTGCACAGTTGTTCAAATGAGAGACAAGTCTCAATCCTCAATACCATTCTTTGCTTGAAAGGTATAAACTTTCCATATAACTGAAGAAAACCTTACCCCATTGCTGAGGTATTCCTTGTGCATTCTCTGCGGGGGGGGGAAAGGGAACTGTTTTTTTTCTAAATTTCAGGCAGATTGGGCTGTGATGGTGTAACTTGCATAGGCAGAGCCAGATCTGACAGACTGAGATGTTCTGTACTAACGTGTCGCTTTGTATCACAAGTTAAACAGACTTTAGTACATCAAATAAAGGTCAAGTTTTGAAAAAATAAAAAATTAAAAAAATAAAGACAGGAAAGAAGGAAGGAAAAGGATACAAATAGGAAAAAAATAAAGGCAATCTGGGTTTGAGTTTTCAAAAGAAGATTTTTTCCCCCCAAAAAAACAGGTATGGACAAGCTTCCTTAGCATTGCCTTGTTCTGATGGGTAACTATCTATTTTTTAGTTGCCCTAGGGATGCAATTATTTGAGAATCCTTACTATGCCTTTCACTTTGCTCATGCCCAAGGTTTTGTGACCTCCTCTACATGGGGGGGGGGGCGCTCAAAATCCCACCCTGGCTTCAAAAGTTACTGGCATCAAAAGTCAGTTCTTTTATATAAAACCAACTCACATACCAGGAAAAATAAAAGAGGAAATTAAAGCCTAAGAATTTCCCCTTCTTCCTTAGGATTCCAGCCATGAATTTTTAACTTATTTGTATACTATCCAGCAATTTTTCATGTGTGTAGCAAAAGGGTCCTCAAGGTACTCCGTGTACCTAACCCAGTTTATGGACCTTTATGGATACCCTTGGCTGTGTGTTCTGCTGGAGGTACTGAAGAGGCACTGGGAGGACCACCTGGGGACCTTCAAATGGGTTCTTGTCGGTGCAGTGGAAGATGTCCATCTCGGTGGAACTTTGTGCCTTCTTCACGGTGTGTCACTGGCTTAGCTGATGGGACTCTCTTCCATGGCTACTCTAGGTCCCTCCAGTCATTCACAAGCATGGTCTTGTGCCTCATTCTGCATCCTTCTAGCTTCTTTGTTCTGGGATTTCCTGTTCCAGTGGAAATATGTGAGATGGTAGGGTCTCTTGACACATGTATTTTCTTGCCCACCCAGCCTGTGGAGGTTGCTGGCAGAGAAATGGGGACTGCCACTTGTAGGCTTCCATCATGGGCTCAGTCTAGCTGCTGTGACTTATGTCATAGATGCTGCCTTAATATCCTGCCCTCTGGCTTGCCAAGTACCTCCTGAAGGCACTAGGAGGTAAACCCAGAAGTACGAGAGAATGGGTGTTTATTTGACCAAAGGGAGACAAAAAAACAAAAACCTCCCTTCCTTTCCCAGGTAGATTATCAGAACACAAAGTAGTTTCTGGAGGCCTCCTTGAAGACAGTCTGAGAGCTCAAGCAATCAACTGTGATCTTTTTGTTTTTTTAATTTATTATTTTTATTTTAATTTTCTTTTTTGTTCTAGGGATTAAACCCAAGGCCTTGTGCATGCCAAGTATGGCCTCTGCCACTGAGCTCCACTCCCAACCCCAACTGTGCTTCTTATAAAAGCCACAAAATGACCCCTTAAATTTGCTCTCTTCCCTCCCTAGACACACTCCTGTTTCTTCCCCATATTCTGAATCGCCTGGAGTTGCTCCTCCCACCCCTATTTTTTTCAATACCTAAAAATTTGCCTCCTGCTTCATTTTTTAGGGAACTCAGATTAGACTATTCATTTGCTATCCTACTGAAATCTGTAAATTTGTTGTAATTGGACACAATACCTTTATTTTATCTATTTATTTTTACGTGGTGCTGAGGATCAAACCCAGTGCCTCACACGTGCTAGGCAAGCGCTCTACCACTAAGCCACAACCCCAGCTCCTTTTTGTATTTTAACCCAGCAATAACTAGAGAAAGAAAGATGCCTTTGTGAGAAAAACGTACATTCCTTCCATCATTTTTTATATAATTTTTTTTTTAGTTGCAGATGGACACAATACCTTTATTTTATTTATTTATTTTTATGTGGTGCTGAGGATGGAACCTCACACATTAGGCAGGCACTCTATCACTGAGCCAGAGCCATAACCGCAGCCCCCATTGTTTTTTAATGTGGATAGCAGCCTGAAAAAAGACTCTAGACTCGTCTAAGCTTTCTACTTCATGGTTGTGTTGTACCTTGGTGCCCAATGCAAGTCCAGAGTGGAGAAGGTGGATGGAAAAGACTTGCTATCCAAAACCTAGGTAGTGCGGAATTCCAGATCCAAGGTGTGGGCCGTAGGTCCTTGAACCGTGCAACCCATCCCTTCTCTGGTTTCCATAACAGACTTACTTTAACCATGGACATTGCTTGAGGCCCAAGAAATCTCCTTGGTGCTGTTATTTGTCCTTTCTTTCTGTTGCACAAGTTACCTTTCCCAGCCATGCCTCTTTGCTGAGTCTGCAGGATACTTCTGAGAGTCATCTTCATTCTAAAGCTAAAGCTCTCTAACATTTCATCGTGAAAGCAATGTCCTTAACACGGTGTTTTATGACCAGGAAAAAATGTTGCACGGAAACATTTCATCATAAAAAAAAAAAATCTCAGAATATGAGAGCTAGAGGAACTGTACCACCACCGTGGAGAGTATTTGGAAAGGATTCCATATTTATTACCTTTTAGAAGGAATTTAGATGAGGTCACAAGAAAGAGTGAAAAGATCTAGTAAATCACTTGGAGTGAGGAGACCTGGGATTTAGCCTTGCCGTCAATAGTCTAGGGCCCCTGAGTAGTTCATTTAACCCATAGGGCCCTAAAAAAGGCATCTCGGAGGGTTCTGACTCAGGATTTCTCTGGGGAGAAGACTTAGAAAAAACTGGATGATAGAAGCTTACCTCCTTCTGATTATCCTGGGATCATGTAGAATGTAGGCAGATGATCCAATCTTAGTCCTGGGCCACCCAAGACTTTGACTCTTATTTTCCTCTTCTTTCTCTTCTCTACTCTCCTTCCTTCCTTCTTTATTTTTTTCCTCCCCTCCTCTTCTCTTTTTTTTACTAGGATTTGAATCCAGGGACATGCTAACACTGACCTTTATATCTCCAGCTCTTTTTTCTTTTTGAGGCAAGGTCTCCCTAAATTGCTGAGGCTGGCCTTGAACTTGTGACCCTCCTGCCTCAGCCTCCTGAGTTGCTGCCACCCAGAACTTCAAATCTAGAGCACATGATGCTATAAGGTAAATGATGCTAGAATGGCCATTGAGAACTTATTTTAGGTAGTAGCACTGTCACCCCCTTTTGGTAGTCAGTTGCGGTGATCAGTGGTGGTAGCACCAGCTTGGCAGCAGCAATGCCCAAATGCATGCTCCCTGTGGTATTTTACTGCTGAGCTTTCTGGCTTCTACCTGCTCTACTTGCTATTGATTCCTGCATTTTTATCAATAGGTATTTATTGAACATATTAATGGCACTCAAAGTGATATTTTGAAACAGGCAGGCCGTTTGAACTGATCAAATCCAGCAGCCTCCCCCTTTTTCCAATCCCCCAACCCAACACCTTTCCTAATTGCTACTGTTATTCTACTTTCAGGTTAACTGTTTTTAGTTTCCACATGTGATGGAGAACATGGAGTCTGTATTTTTCTGTGTTTGACTTATTTTACTTAACATGATGTCTTCAGTTCCACTCATTTTGCTGCAAATGAGATTTTGTTCTTCTTTATGGCTGAATAATAATCCATTGTGAATATATATTTATATATATATATATATATATATATATTACATTTTCTTTATCTGTTCATTTGTTGATGGGTACCTAGGTTGATCCAATAGACATGGGGATGCAGGCATCTCTTCATTATGCTGATTTCATTTTCTTTGGATGTATACCTAGAAGTGGGATAGCTGGATCATATGGTAGACCCATTTTTTTAGGGTGTTTTTTTTTTGAGTCTGGATTTCAGCCTTGCTATAGAATCTCTGAAATATGTGATATCATTTCAACATGCTCCTTTCTGCTTAACTTGCAGAATTATATTTTTGTTGCTTGCAATCCAAAATCCTATTAGCGGAAGATCTAAAGTTCCTTAACTGTTCATAAATCCCATAAATTGTTGTGTGTCTCTTTGGCCTTTGCAAAGCACTTTTGTACATATGGTTTATTTTATCTTCAGTATAAACTAGGTGGGGATGCTTGATTAGTCATATGTATATGATTATATCCATGCAGATGAGAACAAATGAATATCACAGGGGTCCATGGACGGCTCAGTGTCACACAACCAGTCTGGATGGGGCAGGGTTTGTGCCCACTGGAATTCCCCACACTTTTCCTATGTCACCGCTGTCTCCCTGTCCGGGTTGAAACTGAGATCATGACGGTGAAGATGAATTCTAAACTGAAGAGCATTATATGTTTCCTATTATTGTCCAAGGTCACCCAGGGTGAAGGTGGAAGAAACCTCCTTAATTCTAATCCAGTGTCTTTTTCAATTCATTCCAAAGGAACGCATTTGCTTAATTAAATTTATAGGTTGGTTACTCTTTTTGGTACTTATTTTTATAGCTGGTTTAGGAATAAAATGAGACATTTCTTAGCTATATGAAAAAATTTAAGAAATCTTTGCATGGGGTTTTTAAGAAGCCCACCAAAATGACTTCCCTGTCACCTCTAAGTCCTCACCGTTCACTCAAGGTTATCTACTGCAAAGAGATGGAACTATACCTCATAAGTAAATTAATGACCGCACTGGAGAATCTGCTTTAATTATCTCAACACTCTCCAAATTGTCGGAATATTTTTTTTTTCCAGTTCCTGTCTCATCTGCCATCTGCTCTTGTTAAACCTTGTGACGAAATCACATCCTCGAACATCCCTGACAGCATCTCATCTCCTGGTGAGAAGAAAGGCAGGTAGACAGAGGAATGGAGCAACAGGCAGCACCCCAATTAGTAGTGACTGCTGAGCAAGAAAAATGAGATGGAAATGGAATGAACTCCACTGACCACAGAAGATTCAAGTAGCCAAGAGGGAAATTCACAGATCCATTAGAAACCCAGGAGTGTGATGGCGGTAATAAACTGGGGGGCCGAGGAGAGGTGTTCCCTTCTCTGTTAGTCCTTTTTTTCTTAATTGGTTGTTCAAAACATTACAAAGCTCATGATATATCATCTTTCATACATTTGACTCAATTGGGTTATGGACTCCCATTTTTACCCCAAATACAAATTGCAGAATCACATCGGTTACACACTCACATTTTTACATAATGGCATATTAGTGACTGTTGTATTCTGCTACCTTTCCTATCCCCTACTATCCCCCTCCCATTTCAACAAACAAAATGGGCAAAAAAACCTCCACCGGGGACATGCTTAGGCCAACACAGGGGAGAAGGGGACAGGGCAATAGTAAGCACAACAAACACTTTAGTTAGCACTTTACAGTTTGCAAAGTGAGGCGGACAGATTGGTTATTACTTCCCTTTTAAATATAAGGAAATCGGCTCCCAGACAAGCCTTGTTTAGAGACTAGCCAAGAATCACTTAGCCATTAAGTGTTCATGCCAAGAGTTGAGCGAACCTGATGTTGGGGAGGGAAGGAATGCAAACAGAAGGGAAAATAACAAAGAAAAAGAAGGAGAGAGAGAGTTGAAGAGGAGGTGGGAGGAACTGTGGAGTAGAGAGCTCTCTCAAGACCACAGAATGGAACTCAAAGGAAGGATGCTAATAGAACACCCACCATGATAAGTTCCTACCCTGTGGAGAGGAGAGAGAGCAGGTTCCACACCCTGTTACACAGACATGCAGACAGAAACAGCTTTAAAAAATATTCTCTATCATAAGGATTTTTTTTTTAAAGAAAAAAAAAACAAGACAACAACAAATAAAACCACAGAGCATAAGGAAACATGACTTCAGTGTCACACTGTTTTGTGATGCTTTCGACATACTCTGTCCTGCTTCCAACATTTGTGAGGTGTAAGGTTCTAGGTTACAGAGTAGCACATGTGGGCCTATCCACAGGTGGCCCCTGCTCACAAGACACTCTGTGTGTTACTTCTCCTTGTCCCCTTCCCCTTAAGACTAAACAAGTATCCACAGTAATTTCCTTGTTATCTTTCTCTTAAAAATAGATCCAGCATATTCCTAGATCTCTTTTCTGATCATAATGGAGGATGAATTCATTCAGATGGAAATGGACATCCAGACTGATATGTTAATCACTCGGCTTCACAAAACCTTGCTCAGATTACAGAAGCTCCGTTTCCACCATGTCCAAAATAACTGTGGTGACTTTGCCCGGAAGATGATTGGACACTGTGAGGGAGCTGGGTGGGGCTGGGGCCGGAGTTGGGGGGCAGAACTAAGTCTCCAGGCAAAGAAGGAAAATAGAGACTCCTTCCTTCCTCATCCACTGACTTCATAAGTCCTCATGGGAGAGTAGGTTATCTCTAGACTCTTCTCCAGCCTACAAAAAAGCCAAATCTGTCCCAGAGCATCTTAACTGATTGTCAGTAGCCCCAGGTGAGTCTACAATTCCTCTTACCATAAACTCAATGGCCTCGTTGGTTATCAGGTGGCTCCGAAGGGCCTTATTGCAAGCAAACATGGTTGTCTTCCATGACCTTGAGCCACATGTTTGGAACACAAATGGCCAGTAATGTATCCATTTACTTCTTCCACCTACTTCCAATTTTAGAATAAATCATCCCTCAGCCGTAATCGGGTGAAAAATTCTATTACCTATTTTGTTCATCAGTAGTTTGAACATTCGGAAAATAACCTTGGTCAAGGCTAAAGGATCTGGTGACTACATGAGTTTCTTAGTTACCTTTCACGGTTTGACAGAAATGAATTCTATCTCCCTTTAGCCTTTCCTGTCACATGGAAGGTATAAAATTATTGTCATTAGTTGGCTAGCCATGTCCGTTATCAAATGGAAGATTTCCTTTGGATTTTAACTGTTCTTTGGGCTTGTTTATTCATAATAAATGGAGTGTGAGTTTCAGAGTCAGTTTGGGTTCAAACCTGTGGAAACTTGAACGGTTTTGATTTCTGTAGGGCATAGGTTTTCATATTTGTAAAGTGAGGGCTTGAATGCTTACCTTAAAGGGTTGTGAAAGAATTAAGTTAGACATAAAAATGATTTACACCTGGGAAACTCTCCAGAAATGTTCCTTTCCTCCTCCAATTCACTTTTATTATGTCTTCCTTGAATTTGGCATCAGAGATCAAAAATAATATACAAGTGAGGATGTATCATATTTTTGGACATAATCTTCACCAAGAATATAATGAATGTTCTTTGGTGTTTAAAAGCCAACATACAAATTCTGTTTTCAATTTATTTTTAGCTAAATAACACAGGAAGTCATAAATCTTTAAAATCCAAGTCATTTTCATTCAAAATGGAAATAAATTTTAGAAGCATGGGAAGAACATAATTTAAAAATACATTCAACATTGTTGTATTCACAAGTGGAACTGGAGATCCATACAGTTCTGCTGATACTTATGAATTCTGATCAACCACGATGACATCAAATTGACTAGCAATTAAATATGTATGGGCCAACAATGCAAATAATACTGCTGTCTTTAGAAATGACACAATGCAGGCTACAATGTGTAAAAGACTCTGGTAAGTCTCTCAGTAAACAAGCAAGCATACTTCAAATATTAATGAATCTTGTATTTTACCCATTTATTTGTCTACGAGATCCTTTTTGTTGATGGGTCATCTGTGAATAATACTGTAATAGATTGAATGTCTCTACCCCCTCACATTCATATATTAAAGCCTAAATCCTTAACGTGGTAAGTGATTGGAGGTGGAGCTTTTGGGAGATAATTAAGTTGCATGGGTAGAGTCCTCATAAATGGAATTAGTGTCTTCATAAGAAAAGACATGACAGAGATTATACCTTTCCCCCCACGTGCCTCTGTCCTATAAGAATATAAGAAAGTGAAGACCATTTGCAAATCAGAAGCAGATTCTTACTTCAGACTGGGTCTGCTGGTACCCTGACCTTGGACTTCCTGCTACCAGAACTGTTAGAAATGCACTTCTGTGGTTAAAGCAACCAAGTCTAGGGTGTTTTGTTACAGCAGCTCAGAGTGGCTACGACAAACATATAACAGAGACAAGTTAAGGAATGTAGTTTGAGAAATTCTAATCTGTTGCATAATATCAACATCCTAGAGCACAAAAACAAACAAACAAACAAAAACCAATAAGCAATAAAAACAAAACGCACAGCAGACCTCAGTCCTGCAAATTTGGTTTAATATACACAAATGACAGAGATAATGGACAATTTCATTAATAAAGATCTTGTTTACACCTTTTAACATTATCAATAATCATCTAGCTTCAGTCATAGACTCTACTTCATTAAACAATGCCAAAGTCATTAGAGCCTGTGAGTAACTGCAGATTCATTTGAGTTTTAATTGTTTGGGCTCTCACACAGGGACACAGACTCAATCAAGACATCAGCTGATACTTCAGAAGCATGAATCATTTATTTATTCATAATTATTTTTGCACATGGAGTACAAACAAACAGGATGTCGTGAGTTCTAATGGTCAGGAGTGAGGGCTTGAAATCAGACCGAGGTGAATTTGAAATCCCAATACCTTACCTATCTGTTCCTCAATTTCATCATATGTAAAGTGGGGTTATTTCCTACTTCATTAGGACTGAAGATTAAATGAGGTCACACACAAAAAAATGCTTATTAGCAAACTCCCAGGCATATAAGTGCTTAATCAAGGCTATTATTTTATGAACTTCAGGTCATGAAGTTGATTCTTTCTTTCTTTTTTTTGAATAACAACCTCCTTTATCCTCAGAATATATATAGTCCCTGAAATGCCAATGTAGCCAGCACGGCTCTGCATCCAGACTGGTATTTACTTACGTGCCATTTACAAATCATTTGGCTTTCAAGTAAAAATCCTTAGGGAGAGTTATTATTATATGTGGTCTCCTTTCATACCTTATCACAGAGTGTGTTTCTGAGGAGCGCTCCTAAAACCCCAGGGAAGCAAACCAACCATTCTGCACTCACAAATACTCTGCCAGAGTTGGCAGTGACTGACATTTCAATGGCTGGGAGGGGCAGGGAAAGAAAAGAGGCATAGTCTCCGTATCACTCAAGTTCCTTTCATGCCTCGACAGGAACCCAGTGCCATTTGGAGGGCTGCCTGGGTCAGAAATGAATGCTTCTAGGGATATGCTATAGGAACCAACCAAGGTGGAGGGTTCTGACTTGTCATTATTCATGAGCCTCACAAAAATAGTGATACTGGTTTAACAACTTTCTTGCCAAAGTCCGGAATGAGAGTTGAATATTTTGCGAAGCATTGCAAAGCGTCTTGTCCTGATACCCCTGTTCCCTAAACTTTTTTTTATACTATTTTTATTTAGGGGTCTGGTAAGCTTGCAGGAAAAAGAGAGGGGGCAGGGAAGAGGTGGAGGAGGAGGAGGAGGAAAGGGAGGAGAAAGATGAGAAGAAAAAGAAGATGGAGGAGAAAGAAGAATAGGAGAAGAGGTGAAGGGGAGAGGAAGGAAGGAACAAAAGAAGGAGGGTAGGGAGGAGGGTGGGAGAAAGGGAGTGATTGGGAGAAAGGAAAAGGCTCCCACTCCCAGTTTGGGGTTTGTCCACTGGGTCTGCAGGAGATTAACAGTCCCTATTCTTCTACTGTATGTGTGTCTCTTTGCATTGTGACTGTCAGCAACTCCCATCAGAAGGTGGAGTCTATTTTTCTGCTTCTTGAAGCTGAACTCACCTTGTGACTTGCTTCTGTCAACACAGTGAGGCAAAGAGACGTTGCACCAGTTCTGAGGCTACAGGACTCCAGAAGACTTTGCCTTCCCCCCAGATACACCACTGCTGGGTTGCAGGCCAAACCAAGCCCAGGTGAGCCCACCCGGTGACTAAAGACACTTCATCCATTGGCCGCATCCACAGGAGCTGGTCCATCCCATTGATCTCAATCCACCAAGTCCAAACACACATGAAAAGAAGAGCCCCACGGAGCCATCCCCTAACCGCCTTCCCCATCTCTGTTAGTTGAGAACAACCGTGGCTGTGAGCATCGGTAGTGAGACAAAGACAGAAGTCTTGTGGTGTTTCCCCAGCTCGGTTCCTGTTCTTCCTATTTTAAATACCTAGAAGGTGGCATTGAAGCTGAATGATATCACAGCCAGAGTTCCCCAAGCACCAAGCAATTAGGAGGAGAAGCACAGATATTTTTGGGAGGTACCTAAACCCCTGTTAGCGAGGCCACGTTTTCTGTTACTTGCAGCTCAACACAATTCCAACTGAAGCAAGGGTGGTATTGAAAGTCATACTAGACTAGGAGGCATACTGGAAGGTGACAGTGACCTGGGGAATGTAAAAGCCCATTCATTCACTCATTTACTCAGTCATTTAAATATGCATTGAGTGCCCATCTGCAGACCCTTTGGGGCAGGGGGGTCAAGTGTCTGTTAATCACACCCTACAGGTTCATGGTTGGGGAGAACGTGAGGAATAACCAAGTCCTACTTTCCTCCCAGTTTCCCCTTTTAGGATACCTGGGGCAGGTTTCTAACTCCAAGGCCGCCCTTTTCCTATTTGTTACAAATTGATTTCTAATTAAATCAACATCTACCTACCCATTGCATTGATCAGCTGGCTACAATCTCAATTTCTTTCTTTCTTTCTTTCTTTTTTCTTTTTCTTGTAGTACAGTGGGATCAAACCCAGGGTCTAACACATGCTAGGCAAGTGCTCTACCAATGAGCTACTGCTACATCCCCAGACCTTTTTATTTTATTTTGAGACAGTGTCTCACTTAGTTGCCCAGCCTGGCTTTAATCTTGCGATTCTCCTGCCTCAGACTCCTGAGTAGCACAGTCTTGTATTTGATTGCTTTTCAGATCATTTCTTGGAAGACTGTCAAGGGAAAGGAGGTGAAACACAGAGGCTAGGATGTGGGCCTGGAGTAGAGAATGACAATGAGAACTGAGAGAAGTCTAAATTTTTTTTTTCAAAATCACATTTTATCTCAACAGTTCAAAAACACAGGAGAGATCAAAAAGAACCTTGGTTTGTTTTAATTTAGAAATCATATTTTTATTTCTTACCAGGAAATAACTGCTACTTGAGGAGCAGACATCCCATTTATCTTGTGGCTTCTATACCTTTGCTGCCGAGGAAGCAAGACCATGCTATTCTCCACAATAGCTCTAGGCAGGTGTTATTCATTTAACACCTACAATATGCCAATCATTGTGGTAGGGTACTTCACTCTCATGTGCCATATAATTTTCAGCCCTATGCAGTATGATTTTCTCCATGTTAAAGATGAAAAAGTCCAGAGGTTTTCAATTATTTTTTTCTCAAGCCCTCAAAAGGGATAAAGTGGAAATGATATTTAAACCCGGTTCTGAACATCTTCAAAGCTCATCTCCTGTTCTACAACTTGCCCTTGATAAGCAACAGTCCCACGTATAAGAGAAAAGCTTTTCCTTCTCTTTTCCAAATATCCTTGAGGGAAAAGGAAGCTAAAATAAAATCAGAGTCCCTTTTCAAAAGGGACTTATAAATTGCTAGACATTGATTAATGACAGAAAATGGAAGGAAGAGACAGTATCTTGGTCTCTCTCTCTCTCTCTTTCTCCCCCCCCCCTTTCTTTCTTGTCACTCTATCCTAAAAGGTCTGGAAACTCTTAGAACACACCTACTGGAATCCTGGGGTATGTACGGTAAATAAAGATCCAAGTAAATAGAAGAAAATCCCGATTTCTTGGCAAGGTCAAAGTTGCAAAATGAAGACCCAGTTGCTGTCCCCTAAAATGGAGAAACTCTCTGTGCCAGGTTTGAGGAGTCCATGGTAACTTTAATGAAATAGAAGTAATTTTGGTAAAAAAACAAAAACAAAAACAAAAAAACAATATAGGGCTTTAAAGTCCATCTGAGGAATTTTTAAATACATGAAAGATTAAAAAATTAGTAGGAGAAACTAAAGGGTTGAATTTAGTCTCAGTGACACTGTTTCAGGCTTCTCCAAAAACTGTTAGAACGATGGTTCTCAGATCTTGCTCGTGGGTTAGAATCAATGCAGGTGACTTGTTAAAACACAGGATTCTGGACTCCACATCCAGATTTTCTGAGTCAGTAGGTGTAAGGATTTGCATTTCTAACTTATTAATAGGTGGTGTATGCTGCAGGTCAAGGGCCACCTTTCGACAACCACCAACTCCTAAACTATTCCTGGAGCCAAACTAGAGAAGTAGATGCACGGGGCATCTTGAATTTAAGGAATAGACTAGGGTCCTGGTGAGCACCCACTGGCAGATCTTCCACATTATCAGTCAGTGACACACTTTGATAACAAGAGAAAAAGGAAAGAGTTTGCTGTAGAGATCTTACTCTAGTGCTGATTCTAATTGGACCTAAGTGCAAATATTGGCTCTGCTACTTAATAGCTGTATAAATTTGGGCAAACACTTCATCTCTCCAAGTTTCCTTCTCCTCATCTGTACCTTAGAGATCTTAGTACCTAACTTGTAGAAGTACCTAAATTGTAGAATCATGGGACTTAAAGAAGACATAGACAGAGGACTTGGAGGCACAGAGTTGATTGCAAGAATTAATGTTGATTCAGGGAACTGGATAAACTTATCCAGCTTCTTCTGAGGGTTGTTGATTGAGGAGATTAAGACTGGGAAGGTGGGTTTAGAGCCAAAATGAGTTTTTCCTCCTTGTTTGAGCCTGACCCTATGGATGGTAGCTTCAGAAAGTTAAGATCGGATCAAAGAGATCTCGAACAATCAAAGATAATTATTAGACTCCAGGAAGACTGAGAAGCATCCAGACCTTAACGGACAACTTGTGGTTCATGCCAGCAGAGGGGATGAGGAGGCCTGAACTCTTCCACCAACACCACCCGTTCTGTGAATATCAAGACCTTGTATCACTTTGCCTTCAGCTCCATATAAACCTTTCATCTTGTGCCTCTGGATTCAGGGAAAGGAAAATGATCAAAGATATGTGTAGAAGAAGCAACTTGTGCAGGGTGCAGTGGTGCACGCCTGTAATTCCAGCAGCTCAGGAGGCTGAGGAAGAAGGATATCGAGTTCAAAGCCAGCCTCAGCCAAAGTGAGGCACTAAGCAATTCAGTGAGACCCTGTCTCTAAATAAAATACAAAATAGGGCTGGGGATGTGGCTCAGTGGTCCAGTATCCTTGAGTTCAAACCTGACTATTCCCTACCCTGAAAAAAAAAAGCAACATGTTAGATCATACTAATAGTTTACCTAGATACGTTTTGGTAGTGGTACCCAATGCATGTGGTGACTCTCAACTCTGATCCTATATGAGGAGGCTACTCTTATGTAGTCAGGTAACATCACAAACTGGCTTTCTCAAAATTAGTAGGAGAGCAAGTAGGAGACTTGGACACAGTCTAATGTAGACAATACAAGACAATAGCCCAGGGATTTGGAACTATGGGTTCTCTGAGTTCAATGACCTTGTATTTTTTTCTTAATCTTTCATGTGAACCCATGTCCAATTTTTCTTTTGAGAGGGTAATTATAACTAATATTCTCCCTAGAACAATATCGGAAAGGCAAGTTAGTTACTGTCTGACCTAATTAGGTGTGTAACTTTTAGAATTTGCACTGGCTTCTTCAAAGAGAAAAGCTAAGTTATTTTAGACACTGCAGCTATAATGACACAACGGTACATGGGTCTAATGAGTAATTTTATCAAATTAATTATTTCTGAAAGGATAAATTTTTATGCTCAGAAAAAAATCACTCCAGTTTTTTTTTTAAATGTTTTGATCTTTGTAACCAATTTTATAGATCACACCATGGCCAGTTCCATTTGCCCTGTGAGTCTTGCAATAGTCCTTGCCAAACGTCATAACATTCAAATTGGACCAAAGCCCCAGTCTTTATAGTCGCTCAGTGTGTCCTATCACCCTGGGTGATTAAAGTCAGTTGGTTGCATTAGCTTTCAGAATTTTCACAGTTACTGATATCATCACTTCAATAAGGCAGCTGCTAGCAGGAGGACAGATGAGCTCTTCCAAGTCAGAAACACCTGAATTAATCATTTGCCTCCAACCATGTCCCACCCACCTTGATCAACGAGCAAATGATGGTTTGTACACAGCAGAGGTATTATTCCGGGGTCAGTAATGAACGAATAGCTTTAATTTCCCACCAGTGGATCTCATCATTATTTGAAGCTTTATGCTTTATAAAGAACTACATTTCTAGGTAATATCAGCTGAGTCACCCTTTGAGGACACAATGCTGTTGTGGTGTATCTTGGCATCCATGTATCTGCACTGCTTATTTGTATACGTATGTTACATATCATATGTAACAAGCATGCTGGGACCAAATCTCTTTATTCTTTATGACTAGTTCTCAAACTTTTGCATGCACTGGAATCACCTGGAGAGTGAATCAAAGCACATATGGCTGATTCCCCTCCTCTAGAGTTTCTGATGTAGTAATTCTGGGTGAAGAGTCCAAGAATCTGCCTCTCTAGCAAGTTTCCAGGCTGTGCTAATGCTTCTGGTGTGGAGGCCACAGTTGGAGAACCCGTGCCCTTGGGGTACTGATACCAAGTTTATTATTATTTGCAAATTAAGTTCTAGTGGTTTCCAACATGGCATAACAAGGATGGAGAATGTGGGAACCATGTTGACGTCCTGACCTACTGATTTTCCTTTCAAAGAGGAGAAGTCCATGTAAAGAACTTTGTGAAAAGCACGAGCTCCCAGCTCCTCCTCCCACTGGGCCCCAGAGACGGGAAGAGGCAGCAGGTCACTGTGGCCCAGGCACATCATCAGATCATGCTTCCTGGTGGATGTCAAGGAAACCCTATCTTGGAAGAAATCGCCAGGCAAAAACACTGATTCTAGCTCTTAGCTTTTCAAATGTGAGGTCACCAATGAGGTCACTGAAAGGTCAAAACTCCGGTCATGAGGACAGATTCCTTTCATAGGCAGGTTCTGTAATGGGAGACAGGCTCCCCCAACTCTAGTCTTCTTCTTGGAGCCAAGGGATTGGGCCACACCCTAGAGAGCACAGGAGGGGGTCTTGGGTTCCTAGTGGACCCAGGAAAGAGCCATCAAGCAATAGCAAAGAGTGATATCACTCACAAGAGGATGTTCAACTCAGAGGATGTTCAGGAGGATATTCAACTCAGAAGCCATCAGTCAAACTCCAACACCCCAGTCTTATCTCCAAAAGCAAATAAAAACCACAGAGGAAAAAAGAAAACATTGTTCTCCTTCTGAATACTTTCATTTTGCTTATTTAAGCAACTTGTTCATTTTAGGTCCCTGAGATTTTATTTTTTTGTCCTGAGAGGTGAATATGTCTTTGTGTGTGTGTGTGTGTCTGTGTGTGTGTGTGTGTGTGTGTGTGTGTGTGTATCTGAGAAAGAGAAAAAAGAAAGAAACAGAACTGGATAAACTTAAAATTTGAGAAGTGCTCTTCTCATTAGAAGACACTAATAAGATGGTCCAACTTATATCCAAGGATCAATTTGGTCTGTTATTTATTAACATATGAACTATGCAGGATAGTTAATAGAATCATAATGAGAAGTGTAATTAATTTTTCTTGGAAGAAATCCACTCTGTAGTGCAATATACGAGGACAAACTTGGAGCTACCAATCTACCTGGTCCCAACAGAGACTCCACCTTTTATGAGCTATACAGTCTTGGCCAATTTATCTCTCTGTGACTTAGTTTCCTCACTTATAAAATCCATGAACGAATGGTTCTCATCTCATTGGACTGCTGTGTTGGGTAGATGAGTTAATAGATGTAAAGTACTTGAAAGAGTGCCAGCACATAGAAAATGCTCTATAAGTGCTAGCCATTATTATTTATGTCCAAATACTCTGCCATCCTTCTTCTTTTGTTCTATGCAAATTCCTCATGCTGATGCTATTTAGATTGGCTAACATCCAAAATGGAGACTTCTGCCATAATTATCTACATATGGCAGCAGGATCGTTCCAGAACCACCCTAATGACTTTGATTAGAACCAATCACCTGTGCCTATTTACACAGCCGAATGATTGGCAGGGTTTTGGAAGGCCTGGGTATTTCAATTATATTCTTGTCGGGTATGGACTGATTTGAGCAGATATGCCAGTCAGAACTGTGCTAAAACAGTTCATTTTCTGTATGTTTTATACAACCTAACAGAGGAACCAGACAAAAAGGTGGAAATTGGAAAGGAACCATTGATTGACTCAATAACATGTTGGTTGAGCCTTTGCTGTGTTTGGAGCATTGTGCTCAGGATGGAGTATTGTGATGCAGATGGAGACATGGACGAGGCACTTCCATCCATGAAGAGCTCCACAGTCTAGTGGAGAAAACAGATTGGGAAAAAAATCAATAAATACAGCACAATGCACTCAGGATTTCAGTAGACATTTTCATGGACACATAAAAATTGCCGAGCATTGCAGTGCCTCTGTTCGCTTGAAAAGACAAGTCCAAAAGCAGGCAAGAAAGAGCTAGAAGGCAAGGAGCAGCCAACCAGGATGACAAGGTGGAGAAGGGAAATCTGAGCAAGGCTTTGCAAACAGCTCAGAGGTATGAATGACATGAAAAAAAGGTGGAAGAGGCCAGGAAGCAAGGTATCAGTTCTTGGAATCTTTAAAGGAGGATACATAGAATATAAAAAGACAGGAAAAATGGAGGGATTATGTGAGTGAGAGATTGTGTGAGTAACCTCTAGTGTGTCTGTGCATCTCTGACTATATGGTTGTATAAATATATAACCACGTGGATGGATCAAGCCAGAAAGAGGGAAGCCTAGGAGTATTAACCAACCATTGGGAATTAATTTTTCTGT